AAAATCCCAGATTGACTTGAGTCTGCGAGCAATTGCTATCTTCATCATGAGACTCCCTGCAGTCTCAGCAGCTCCCCCTAGCCTGTTCTGGCGCTGCTGGGATCAGATTGGCTGGCAGCTCAGAAAGATTCTCCTTCAAAGGGGCTGAATTCTTCCCTTTTAGCAAACAAACCTCCTAATGAGGGAAAGAAGCAAGAACGCCCAACCCTTCCCCCAGCCCAGTGCTGGAAAGAACAGTGGAGTTGCACATTGGGTAGTGACAGATTTAATTCTCAATATACACAGTTGTGTCACTGAAAGGAAATATCAGTTGGCTGTATAATGGACAACTGTTGTCACCTGCTGCGATGTTGCATTTTACCCCTGTGCTTTCCTCCTTTCTGTTGACAGGCAAAGGAAACACATGTAGATGAGAGAAAAACAGAAGTGGTGGTGGGAAGAGGTGTGAAGGAATGCAAGAGAATAACAGCAAGATAGAACTGACAAAGAGAAGGGATAGGAAAAAGTGAAGTAAAAGAAGAGCAGTAGGACTGGCAGAAGAGATGGGATTAGAAAAAGAGACTGAAGTGAAAAGACAGACAGATAAATATATGAAGAGAAGGTAAAGTGAAGGAAGAGAGAAATAAATGAAGGAGAACTAAAAGGAAGAGGAGCAATGAAAGAGTGACCATTGAAAGGCAGTATGGAAATTAAGACGAGCAGAAATCAAACTTGAAATGGAAACTAAAATAAAGAAAAGAGAAACCCAAATAAGGAAGTGAAAAATGGTATTCAAGGAAGGACAGAGAGAAATATAAAAGTGAATGAGAGGGACAAAAATGTGGTGCAGGGAAAAAGAGAAGTGAAGGGAATTGGCACTGAGCAGAATGGAAGGAAAAGAGAGTGAGAAAAAGAAGCAGAGAATCAGAAAGGATATTTTGCAGAATTAGCAGTGTCAATATCCATAGCTATATTTTGAAGAGGCTAAGATTATTTTTGTGAGACCTGGGTCATCAAAATTTAGAAATCGTGGATCACAGCCTGTAAAGGCTTTAAAACCGTTGAGGGACCCTGCAGGGAATTGATTTCCAATGAAATAACTCTTGGTTTTATTTGTTTCAACAAACTGTGACAATGGAAGGTATCTTCTTCTGCTCCTGGGAGCAGGAAGGAACACAGACAGGGAACCTAACTATGCAAGAGGCCAAAATCAGCCTCCTGATGGTGGGGTAAGATTTGCAATTAAGGTTCTCTGAATTTTAAAGGTGAACATCCATACAGTGAGTTTTTCTCTTTAAGTCCCAGCCACTCGAATAAGCGCACAGTTTGTTTCTGCATGTGTAATGAACTGGCATCATGTGATTGCTCAAGTAAAACCAGCCCAAGACCCACACTCAAATGGAAGTGATAATCACTTCCCCACACAAAACTGACCCTGTCCTCCAGAATGGATGATCCCAGCCTGTGTTGCATCATTTAGAGAGAATGCGCTACCTTGGAAGCTGAATGGCTTTGTTGAGAAGAGCTACAAAGGCCTTCTCAAGGCAATGAGGGAATATGGAAATGTTCTATTGGAGGCTGAGGGCGGTGAAAGAGAGGGATACCCTTTTGATGACTGAGTTAATGGGTTAAGGTAGAATTGTTAACAACCTTGGATTTCTGACAGCCAACATGAGCAGCATTCACCTGATTCCGAAACCCCACTGTATAACGAGGCAGGACCTGTGCTAATCAGATCCACTTCAGCATGTCCTTTCTGCAGAGGATCCCCAGCATCTGAGAGACACTGCCAACTTGTTAGGGTTGGAGAAGAGGAACTGAGTTTGGGGAATGCTGTTGTTGATTGTAAGATCAATATTTTCCTTGTAGAAATTAGTTGCTTTGGAATCAATTGCTTTGCAGAAAGCAGATTGATGTGCCCTGCATTAATCTCCCTTCCAAGTACAGCAGCTTTGTACAATAGTGTTATTTGCCCAGCTGGCAGGATTTCTGACTTTGAAAATCATTGAAAAAACATGGATGGATACGTGTATGGCATTTGGCCCTTCGAGTCTGCTCTGCTATTCAATATTATCATGGCTGAGTATATCTTCGGAAATGAAACAGAAGGTATGATTGCAATGTTTAATATGCCAAGCAAGCATATCAATCAAACCTGCTCATTGTATATGCATGCAACTACACATGACTGACTGATAATCATTAAATTACCACTAGACTAATAATCCAGAGACCCAAGTAATGTTCTGGGGACCCAGGTTCAAAACCCATATTGACAGACGGTGGAATCTGAATTCAATAAAAATCTGGAATCAAACATGTAATGACAGCCATGAAACTGTTGCCGATTTTCAGGAAAAACCAACTAGTTCACTAATGTCCTTTAGAGAAGGAAATCTGCTGTCCTTACCCGTTCTGGCCTACATGTGATTCTAGACCAACAGCAGTTTGGTTAACTCCCAACTGCACTCTGGGCAATTAGGGATGGGCTACAAATACTGGCCTGTCTAGTGATGTACATATACTGTGAATGAATTAAAAAAAACTCAACTCACTACCCTGTTCCTTTTTTCACCCCATATCCTTTAGCCCTAAGATCAATATCTACCTCCTCCTTGAAAACAACATAATCATTCTTTCTTGTCTCTCGATGACATCAGGACAGAGAAGGGGCAGTGATGAGAAGCAGCCTCTTCCTCCGATCAAAATTTCAAAACATTAAAAAAAAACAGAAATTCTCAGACAAAAAACAAGATCCTGCAGACACTGGAAATTCATAAATAAAAAATTAGGGTACGCTGGAAAAATTCAGTAGGTCTGACAACATCTCCGGAGAAGGAAGCAGACACATTATCCCACCTGCTGAGCATTTCCAATATTATCTAATTTCTATTTCAGGAATCATAGAGTTCTTGTATCCTTTTGAACATGCATCCACATGATGCAGTGTAACATAAAGGTGCTCCATTTTACCAAATCTTCCACTAACCTAATGTACATTCTACTGTTCAAAAAAGACAGAATTTGACCATGATTCCCGAGTAAAAGGATCACTCTAAATATGTACTGTCATGTTAATAAGTGATGTAATTGTGAAAAGACATTAAATATGTGCTTGACTTGCTTCAGATTCTCTATCAATATTAGCCTTGTTGGATATTTTTAAATGTAAGAACACAGCTCCAGAATACAGATAGAAGGACATTGCTGAATTGGAATATTCCAATTAAATCTATGTTCAACAGACTTGACTGCCAATACTCAAATCTTTTTCCAATGTTCGCATTCCTAATACATTGCACAAGGAACACCAGAAGATGGCAGTCACCTCAAGTCTCCAGTCTGACGATATAGATAGAAATGAAGCAAGTGATTAATGGATCTGCAAAACAGGGGTGCAATATTTCAGTGAAGGGGCAAAAAAAGAAATTTCATAAGGTCTGACATACATAGTGGAATCATTGAAGCAGGTAGGACACAGTTGGGAATCCTGGATGAGCCCTCACAGGAAGTGAGGTAGAAATAAAGATAATACCAACCCTTATCAAATGTTAGTTAACAAGGTGTAGAGCTGGATGAACACAGCAGGCCAAGCAGCCCATGAATAATTATAAAGAAGGCCAGAAGAGGGAGCTAAAGTTCAGAATTGGATCATCTCTTGGAGGAATGGGAAGGATAAGCAAGATTCCTCAGGTTAGTATGAGAACAGGAGCAATACAACATATGAAAGGAAGAGGTGAGGGATAGGATTAATGGACTGTAACCTGCAGCAAGGACAGCTGTAGCTAAGTGCCATGTGTGTTTCAGTGTCTTAATATGGAAAAAGCAACATCTTTCACATTGGAAATGAGAAGATTTAAAGGACATTGTTAATTTCCAGGAGATTAGGGACAAAGAGAGGTGCACTGAGGCATTGATCTCAGAGGAATCCCCTTTTTCTTTATCCGATTACACTTTCACTGCCTGACAGATGATCGTTGTATATTTTTCTGTACTTGTCCTTTCTTCCCATTTCATATAAATTCAGGTGTTATTAATTGCATCTCTACCTTTTTGTTATTCTTAGCATACTGCTGTCTGGACTTCACCCTCCACTTTTCCTCTGATATATACATTCAGTTTTACAAAAAGGGGTTATTTTACCAATGGTTGAAGGGTAATATTAAGACATCTTTCACATGCATGGACTGGATCAGTGTTTAAATCAGATTTCCAGCATTTGTTTTACTTTCTGTAATTAATTTGCTGAATCTCTTTTGTTAGCTTCACATCAGTATTCTCTTTCATTGTGAGATGTTCACCATATTGTGCATCTCATTATAATAAACAAGATATGATTTGCTTCCAAGAATTGTATTATGGTGAGGGTAAAGTTCCGTGTGCATCTGTGTTGGAATGAAAGTTGGAGTATGTTTTTGAATTCTTTGTTTTTTATTACCACTAATCTCCAAGCAGGTTCGTCATAATTTTATTTCTTTCATCCACCTATTGACACAGCCACTGTTCACTGTTCATACATTCACATATGTTTCAACAAGAACATTTCAGCATTCCAGCCACTGAGAGTCAATGGTGAGAATATGAAGGAAAGGTTTCCTATGTGCTCCAGATGGAATCAAATTGTAAACCTGTTCTCTATCAAATTTATAATTTGGCTACATCTGCTGTACAGAGAAAAGCTTCCCCAGTGCTTATCCCACAGAACCAGCTGTAATAGGCTATCCCTTGAGCACAGTTTGACTGGTTTTCAACCAGTCTCTTGTGCACTACTCACCTATGACTGTTTCTGATTAATTAACTTTAGTGTTGTATAATTTCGCATCATCTGTTCCCTGTTATCATTTATATAATCCCTTTGTGTTTTTTTTAGTCCTTTTGCATCTGTGATTCATGCTTAATACACAATTGAATCAGGAATTCCCACCTTAATATCATTGTGTATTGTTGTTTATTATCATTAACCATCGTACACTAAACTCGTGTTCCTCTTACCCATCCCTTTATTGACATAAATTATGCAGGGTGCATCTGGCTTAGATGGACAGCCAGGACTGCGGGTGAGTGAGTATTTGTACGCTTTGTCCTTCCTTTGACTATCTCCTTTCTGCTTGGTGCTGGCAGTCCACTGGAGTCAGTAAACGCTCTGTCCTCCCGATCCCTGCCTTCATACTCACCCCACTCTCTGTGCATGGATTTCTCACCATCCAGTGTGAGGCACTGGCAAGTCCTGTTGACTATTTTACCTTTTATTTCCTCACTGTCCATTCAAGGCAATGTTGCCCCAGTGTAAAGTGAGGCCGAGAGAGAGAAAGTGTGGCAGTGGCACTGTCTTAGCATTTAGCTTTAACTGTTGCCCGTGATAGTATTAGAACTGCACAACCCATGCAATTACACAGGGTCCCAAAGTGGTCAGGAATGGAACCAGTGAAAGAAAACCTGTAGGACATTGCTTGTATGTTGATGATGGGAAGTATGCCTCTTCATCATCATATGTGTATGGATGTGACACCACATTAAGCGAATAGTAATTAATATCATTGCCTGGTAAAATGTGAGGGTCCCAAAGCAGGTTCTTTGTGCGGTACTCCCACAAAGCAGATAACGTCCCTGTCTACTGTTACAATACATTCTAATCAAAAGATGCAATAAAGACAGCCAAGTTTAAGTTCACAGAGACCTATTACTGATCAACTTAGAACCAGTCAGTCTCAGACAGTAGTTACCAGGTAAACACGATTCATAATAATGTTTTCAGGCATATTAATCGGTAGTAGAGCAAACCAAGGCAATTTCCTGATCATCTGTCATTATGTTGGTGTTTCTGGGAGTGGACTAGTCAGGCAGACACAAGCTGAGGAAGTGAAAAGCAACACTGTGGAGACAGGAAAACAGACCATCTTCTGTGTTCTACTGTCTCTGTCTTTTTAGAAATGCTTTTGCAGCATGATTAGGACAGAACTCTGGAATAACTCTCGTAGATGTGAGATGATTTCATTTTATTTCTGTCTTCTAGCTGGATACCCTGTGAATTTAGCAGTATGTTGGGGATAATGTTCATCACAGTTCATTTTTCACTTTGTCTTTGAAGGGTCTGGATGGTCCAATGGGTCCTGCGGGGCCAGCTGGCCCAAAGGGAGATAGGGTAAGTACTGTATTGTGTATACGCCTTGAGTAAATTGAGAAGGAGAAGACTGTATATAATGTACAGCAAAAACTGAGAAGCTAGAAATAAACAGTAAAACATGAACGTTAATCTTACTTGAGTGAATTATTGATGAAGAATAAGCTACATGGCTGGTGGTATCACTATGCCTTTACCTGATTATCTACCTGGTCTTTTTTCTCTTTTCTATTTGTTCATCCCTTCCTCCTACCCCATCTCTATATTTGAACCCAAAAGAAATTCCTTGATTGATTGAGTAGGACAGTCTCTGAATCTACTGATTCACCCAATAGCTGCTCAACTAAGTGAGGCGAGCTGATCTCCTTTCCGCTTTCACTCCTGCTTTTTGTTCCTGTAATCACCAGAAGTTACAACCTGGGCTTGCAATTTGAACTCCAATCTCCTACTTCATGGTACGACCTCAATCATGTGTCTCAGTCATAATTTATGTGACAGCATTCTTTTAACAGTGCTTTTTGGCATTGTGTATCAAATTCCAATGTTCCCTATGTCAGCCCTAAGTATCCAATTTAAGAGAATTTAATCTATCCTCTCTTAGTCCTGATGATATCCGCTCTGTAAATATGGCATTGTTTAAAGAAATACTCTACTCTGATTCTATAATATCACAACTCTGCCAGGAACTGCTTGGAAAACACTTTGACATTGTAACATTAAAATCTGAAAGTTTGCCCAGATTTTATAAAGGAACGCTGAGATGTATTTTCCTGTCCTTAAATCACTTTCTCAAAATATAAACTTTTAAACAAAAAAAAGGTGTAGTTTTATGCTTCAACTCCATATGTACCAGGAAATGCAATTGAAATTTATCTAAACTCATTGTACATAGGATCCTTACATCCAATAGACGGAGCAGACTTACTATCTACAATGCCAAACAACACATGTTGCCAGTAAATAATGGGAAGGATTCCTGCTCAGGCTACAATGAGCACAAATCACTTAGCTTTTGCCAAGAACTTATCATTTAATTTTCTGCTCAAACCCATTTGTATAATCACAAACATTAAATCTACCATGGATCAGTGCAATTGTTCCGGGTAATAGAATGTATTTTATCAATTTTGCTCTATGCAATTTTTTTTGTGTTTAAGAGCAATGATAATTTATTAAGCCAATTAAACAAAATTCATCACAAAAAATGTAGACAAGTTTACTCAATCACCCAGTTTTGAATAATCTGCTTTTAAGTCATTGAAATTAGTTTTAAAAGACAGAAAGGTGAGATCATTATGAAGACCATCTTCCAAAGGCTGCAAATGAGCACAAACAGGAGAAACTCACCATGATCATTCTTTCAATATGGGACCTGGCTAGATTAGGGACTGGTGTGTTAGTCCTCACAGTCAGTATGTCACTGTAACTTTACCAAACACAATACGTAACTCTACGTTTACCAGACATATTATGTCACTGTACCATTAACGGACACAGTATATTGCTACACCATTACCTTAAACAGCTTGTCATTGTACCATTGCCAGACACCTATGTCACTATACCTTAGCAGACACAGTATGTCTCTCTACTTTCACCAGACACAGTACATCATTATATGTTTACCAAATACATTATGTCACTATACGTTTACCGGACACATTATGCCACTATACCACTACATGAAACAAAATGTAACTATACCTTTACCATACACAGTATATCACTATACCTTTACGGTACATAGTATGTCATTATACCTTTATTGCACACAGTATGTCACTATACCTTTACCATACACAGAATGTCACTATACCTTTACCATGGGTGGCACAGTGGCTAGCACTGCTGCCTCACAGTGCCAGGGACCTGGGTTCAATTCCACCCTCGGTGGACTGTCTGTGTGGTGTTTGCACATTCTCCCTGTGTCTGTGTGGGTTTGCTCCAGTTTCCTCCCACAGTCCAAAGATGTGCAGGGTAGGTGGATTGGCCATGCTAAAATTGCCTGTAGTGTCCAGGGATTTAGATTAGGTGGGTTAGACATGGGGAAATGCAGAATTAGGGGAATGAGTCAGGGTGGGATACTCTCCGGAGGGTGGTATGGCAGTGTGGTCTTGTTGGGCCGAATGGCCTGTTTCCAAACTGTAGGGATTCTATGATTCATACACAGTATGTCACTTTCCCTTTATCGCACGTAGTATGTCACTATACCTTTACGGTACACAGAATGTCACTATACTGATTTATTTTGGAAGGTCGAATTTGAACACAGAATACAGGGTTAATGGCAGGATTCTTGGCAGTGTGGAAGAACAGAGGGATCTTGGTGTCCATGTCCATAGATCCCTCAAAGTTGCAACCCAAGTTGATAGGATTGTTAAGAAAGCGTATGGTGTGTTGGCTTTCATTGGCAGGGGAGTTGAGTTTAAAAGCCGTGAGGTTATGCTGCAGCTCTATAAAACTCTGGTTAGACCACACTTGGAATATTGTGTTCAGTTCTGATCACCTCATTATAAGAAGGATGTGGAAGCTTTAGAGAGGGTGCAGAGGAGATTTACCAGGATGCTGCCTGGACTGGAGGGGAGGTCTTATGAGAAAAGGTTGAGGGAGCTAGGGCTTTTTTCATTGGAGCGAAGAAGGATGAGAGGTGACTTGATAGAGGTGTACGAGATGATGAGAGGTATAGATAGAGTGGATAGCCAGAGTCTTTTTCCCAGGACAGAAATGACTATTATGAGGGGGCATAGTGTTAAGGTGATTGGAGGAAGGTATAGAGGAGATGTCAGAGGTAGGTTCTTCACACAGAGAGAGGTGGTTGCGTGGAATGTGCTGACGGCGGTGGTAGTGGAGTCAGATATATTAGGGACAATTAAGCGACTCTTGGATAGGCACGTGGATGATGGTATAATGTAGGTTATGCAGGGTAGTTTGATCTTAGAGGAGGATAATAGGTCGGCAAAACATCGTGGGCCGAAGGGCCTGTACTGTGCTGTACTATTCTATGTTCTATGTTCTATACCTTTACCACACACAGTATGTCACTATACCTTTATCACACACAACATGTCGCTATACCATTACCATACACAGTATGTCACTCTACCCTTACTGCACACTATGTCACTATACCATTACCGCACACACTATGTCACTATACCATTACCGCACAGTATGTCACTGTACCTTTACCACACACAATATGTCATTTTACCATGACCGCACACAGTATGTCACTTTACCATGACCGCACACAGTATGTCACTGTACCATTACCGCACACACTATGTCACTATACCATTACCGCACAGTATGTCACCATACCATTACTGCACACAATATGTCACTTTACCATTACCGCACACAGTATGTCACTGTACCATTACCGCACACAGT